AGGGAGGGAGGGGGAGGAGAGAGGGATGGCCGGGACACGAAGAGAAGGTCCTGCAAAGGCTTTGTCCCGAGATGCCAGGCTGGGCTTCCGGTTGGCACCACGCCTGCCAAGTGGTGCATCTAGTGCTGCCAGGGGACACACCGGGAGGCAGGATGAGGCCAGCGCTCGGCACAGACCGTAACAGCAGGGGCACCGTGGGGTGGAAGTGGATGGGAAGAAAGAGGAGACCAGAAAGGGATGAGGTGAGATGGGATGGGGCGCCAACGGACCACGGGTGGAACCACTCAAGACTGTGGGAAGTCTACCCCTGGCTTCAGATCTTGAGGAGGATGGGCCGCCCCATAAGCACCACCAGAGACTGGCAGGTTCACCGGGAGAGGCTGGCCTGGGGGCACTCGGTAGCCCCCCCCCACGACCAAGCCCAGCAGCCACACCACGGCACCATCGCCTGATACTCCCTTCGGCGCACTCCCCTCCCCAAAGCCACGTGAGGCAGCCGAGGAATTCACTCCCTCACTCACTCACACATTCGTGTACGTACGTACATATGTAGCCGGACCCCCACCCGTAGCCGTTTCCCAGCATCCTTGCAACTGACAACCGGAGCTCCCTCTCGCCCCCACCAGGAGCGTCCTGACCCCCTCCGACTGAGGACTGCCTCCCCCACCCCAGTCCACTCGCTGCCACCTACACCTTTCGGAAGCAAGCAGGGGAAAGACTCGAGAGACTCCCTGGGATGGCCCACGATCCTGATTCTGCCCCACCCAGAACCTCTGGGATGGCGCCACACCCACACCCACACCCACACCCACCTGTAGTAGCCCTGAGAGTCCACCAGCTCTAACTCTTCAACAGAAACTCGTCATAAATAACTCCCCCCCACCTCTTGAGTAGGAAACTTCCTTTTGCTTTGCAGCCCCTCTCCTGACCCAACGATATCAAGCCACACTAAGGAAACTGAAAAGAGTGGGTGATGGGGGTGGTATGAATGATGAAGCGTGGCCCCTGCGCTCCGTGGTCTGGAGGCCAATCTGTCGCACCTTCTGCGGCTCCCGCCTGGATCCCCAACCCCTGCGCCTCCCCCTCCTGCTCGGCCGACCCGCTCTGCCGGAGGCTGCCTTCACAGCTCTGGCCGGTGGTGGTGGTGGTGGTGGTGGGGGAACAGGAAGGGCTTGCTTAGGGCCCCTCTCTTCCCCACCTGGGCAGGCCACCAGGTCTCTTGGGACCGTGGTAAGCCCAGGCGTGGCCTGTTCCACCCGGGCACCTGTTTCTAAGACCCCAGGACACGCGGCTCTCGACCCAGCCCACCCAGGAATGGGGCTGGGGACCAACCAGAAGGCTGGCAACCAGCATAACCATGGGGAGGGGTGTGCCAGAACCGCCGGCCCCTCAGCCAATAAGCCAAGCGCTTCTAGGAGGTGGGAGACTCATGAAAGCAGGGGGCCGTTTTGCCCCCTTCCCGGGCAGGTGATGTTAAAAGAGGGGGGGGGCCCAACCCTCTATTTCACGTGCACCCAAGCGACACAGGGAAGGATCCCGAGGACAGCAGAGGGCACTCGGGGGGGCAGGGGGCAAGGGGCACCCTCTCCCCAGGTTCAGCCCTGGCTGGCGGGCATTCCCCGAAACAGAAAGCGGGGCCCTCAAGCGCCAGGCATGTCATCGTGACTCCCACCACCCAAACATCCCTACATCCCCCTCTGGCTCCTCTGTGACCAGGCTCCCCGGAGAGCAGCTACCCCCCCCAGAACCCGCCCAGCTGTGTGTGACGCCTTACTCTCTGCCACGCCACGTTCTTGCCTTCCAAAGGGCGCCTGCCGGCCTAGTGACCTTGTTTAGGCTTCTCTCCTTGGCACGGCCAGTGTGACGTCTGCCGCAGAACGACGGAAACTAAAATCTGGGGAGGGACAGAGACGGCCTCCCCTCCTCCAAGAACTCAGAAGCACCCGACTCCCTTCTTCTTACACCACCTCTGTGGAAAACCTTGCCCCCCCCACAAAAGACTACAAACGCCCAGTAAAGGGGAAATGGCCACCCCGTAAGCATTAATCTGCTAACATGGGAACTGTCATGACAATTACGTTCATTTGGCATGAAATATTTTGCCCTCCAGGTATTTTCAAAGGACAACCCCCATGTCCCCAAACCAAAAG